TGTTTGTGTTTGTGTTTGTGTTTGTGTTTGTGTTTGTGTTTGTGTTTGTGTTTGTGTTTGTGTTTGTGTTTGTGTTTGTGTTTGTGTTTGTGTTTGTGTTTGTGTTTGTGTTTGTGTTTGTGTTTGTGTTTGTGTTTGTGTTTGTGTTTGTGTGTTGTGTTTGTGTGTTTGTGTGTTTGTTTGTTTGTTTGTTTGTTTGTTTGTTTGTTTGTTTGTTTGTTTGTTTGTTTGTTTGTTTGTTTGTTTGTTTGTTTGTTTGTTTGTTTGTTTGTTTGTTTGTTTGTTTGTTTGTTTGTTTGTTTGTTTGTTTGTTTGTTTGTTTGTTTGTTTGTTTGTTTGTTTGTTTGTTTGTTTGTTTGTTTGTTTGTTTGTTTGTTTGTTTGTTTGTTTGTTTGTTTTGTTTGTTTGTTTGTTTTGTTTGTTTGTTTGTCTGTCTGTCTGTCTGTCTGTCTGTCTGTTTGTTTGTTTGTTTGTTTGTTTGTTTGTTTGTTTGTTTGTCTGTCTGTCTGTCTGTCTGTCTGTCTGTCTGTCTGTTTGTTTGTTTGTTTGTTTGTTTGTTTGTTGGCTTGTTTGTTTGTTTGTTGGCTTGTTTGTTTATTTGTGAAGCTTTTTGTTGAATTGCAATAACCCAAATTCATCCCCCCTTAATAAAGCCTGACTTACACTATCAAAGTTTCTGTGATCACAGTACAGGAATTTTGCATAGGTGAATTCTAAGTTTTGCAGGATTTATAAGAAACGTTTGAGGGAACTGACTCAGTTTGTAACACTGTGTCAGTTTCCTCAAACGTTTCTTACAAATCCTTCAAAACTTAGAATTTACCTATATATGCAAAATTCCTATACTGTGATCACAGAAACTTTGAACAATCAAATGCAGTAATTCAGAACAGTTATATTGATAAATTATATTTTAATCACAATATGAATATGACTGAGTATAAAATATTAATTTACTTAATTTGCCATCCGTCAATATGAACGTGTTCGAGTACGTTATCATCACAAATATAAAATTGTCCTTCCCAAGTTACATAAATGTATGTGTAATATTATGCGGCATCGTTTCCTGATAAAAAAAATACATCAGGGCTTGCAACCGCCAGTCAGCAATCCATGTACTCTGTGAAATTACTTTGAAGCCAAACTAAAGTACTACAGTGATTATATATTAAGAGGAGATTTTTTTGTATGTTACGTAACACGCGCTCAAAACTAATGCGTATAATATATCGCTTGAGGTTATGACTAAATTCAATTTTTTTATTTTTCGATACGTTTCTCAATCGGCAAACAAACTTAAAAAGTATGTTCAGTGCTTTATCTGTAAAATAATGCCAAAATGAAGAGATTATAGATGATACGCCAAAGAGAAAATGATGTCTGAAGTTCAGTAAGTTTTGCTTAAATATGGCGTCAATTTTAAAGCATCATTGATTATTATTTTATGTTTCTCAACCGGCAGATGCATTTAAAAAGGTAGCTAACTCTATAAACTAGAGAATAAAGCTAAAACAAAGTAATTTTGAGAGGAACGCCAAAAAGATTTTAGGTTTTGAACACTTTTCATTGCAAATACGTGACATTGAAAAAAAATGCTTCTTAATCAATCATATTCCAAGCCCAGCTCGATCCAACAATGTTGAAATCATATTTTTACTGTTTCTTTCGCAAATATTAAAAAATAAACAGTGCAATAAAATATTTCAACACTGTTGGATGATAACGGGCCAACAACGAACTGTCTGAACAGAATGATGAATGGTAGATGGAAATCTCGAGTGTAAAATTTATAAATTTTTAGACCAAATTAGGAAAAGCTGCGAAAAATGCAACTGTATGCCCTCTGGCAGGAAACGAAGCAGGGTCATTAGCCATTCCGAAGTGTGAACTGGGGACGATGAGTGAATTGGGGACGAGTGTTAAAAAGTGCCCAAATTAAGAAATGAACCAAATCACTAAAAAGACCACCTCAAAACTAGTGAGTATACAAAGTTTGAAGACGTTTCCATGAATATCGTTCGAATAATAAGCTTTCGAAAATTGTGAAATTATTGTTTTTGGGACGCGCGTCCCCCAAAACAAAAATTACAGTACATTTCATAGTAAATATCGCGATTTTCGAAAGCTTATTGTTCGAAGGGTATTCATGTAAATGTCTTCAAACTTTGTATACTTACTAATTTTGAGGTGGTCTTTTTAGTGATTTGGTTCATTTCTTAATTTGGGCCAATCTCGAAACCAGAACCCGCAATCCTCCGTGGAGGCTTGCTTAGGCTCTGGGAAACACCGGCGACTTTTGCACGAAAATCAGTACATTTGGATCCAGTACTCCGCTCGACATTTATAAATAGACATTACTGCCTTCAAACATGAATTATGCCGTTGTTTAAGCTTATTACGACTTTAATTCTTCAAAGAACACTTACCATGGTTTTGAATTGTTGTAAGATACTGGTAGTGATTTATTTTAACTTGTTTAATTACGGTAAATCATGGATTGTTGTGTTATTTTAAATATTACAAGCAATGGCTTATAATGACCTTATGTCCTTATATGGTAATGCTGCACTGTTGTTTTTCTAAATTTTGTTATTGGCATATCGATATCAGAATAGTGTATTGATTTCATACGAGAAGCTAGGGAAGTTTAATAAGTTTATTAAAGTTATGCTGTGTGTTTCATTGATATGTTTAAACATAATACACAAAGAGAAATCACTCTCATCCGCAGAGCCTTACGAACTTTTAGTAAAATTACGTAATATTACTTGAACAACCAATCAGAGCCCGACTTTCGCTGGTGTTTCCCAGAGCCGCAGCAAGCCTCCACAGAGGATTGCAGGCTCTGGTTTCGATACTGAATATGGGCACTTTTTTAACATTCGTCCCCAGTCCTCTCATCAACTTCGGAATGGCTAATTGCCATGGTTGCTGTAGTCGCATTTTTCGCAGCGGCTCCTGATTATGTCTAAAATGTAAAAAAATTACACTCGAGAGTTTGGCTTCAATCTCTCACAGAATTAGCTGGAGTTCCGGTCATCATCTCCACTAGACGCTATTGGACCATAATTAGGTGACGTCACATCTCTGCATTCACAGTCATTGCCACTGCAAGAGCTGTCAGGATCACAGCAATCACCTCCATCAAACTGACATTCTTCGTTATTGTTAATTCCGTCACAATACTCATCTTGGAACAAGTCAGGTTGACATTTTGCAATACATCTTATCGCGCTTAAATCTGGATACCACTGCAGAAATGGTGAACACACTATAGCCTTGACCTCTCTCTTTAAACTGTCGCCCTGAAATATCAAGGTGAACAAATAACATTTGATTATGTAGTTTCATTTACAATGTTCGTCATAGGCGATAGACTAGGTGGTCTAAAGTCCCCCAACTTTGAAAAAAGTAAGAAAAAAGAGGGGGCTAAGCCCCTCCATTAAACATTGAATATTCATTTATACGTACCTGGACAACAGGCGCCATTAATCTTGTACCGCACGTGATTTCACACTCGTCCCTAGGTCTGGGATGTTTACCACAGCCTTTGGACAGAATGCCTTCGTTGAGATTTGGCTGAGGACATGATCCCTTCGTTGAACAGAACTGCAATTTCTTGTCCCATTTTCCTTCCGCACCGCATCTTACCTCGCGAACCTAAAATTGGGTTGAAAGTAGAAAATTATGCTTCATTTATTTTATATATATACCAGGCACAGAATAGAGACCATACCAGGCACAGAATAGAGACCATACAGAAGTCCGCCATGATTCGCAATGATTCGTCATCAAAATGCACTCGCCATGTTCCCCCCTGAGCGTCAGCCGTTTTGAATATTTTCAGGGGGGTGAATGCCTCTCGTAAGCACACTGGCTTGCAACATGGATGGCAACAGCATTGCGACGGTTACACCAAAATCATAGGCGCCGACAGGAAGTCAGACTTCTGTATGGTCTCTATTCTGTGGTCTAGGTGACCTTGGGAAGATGGTTTTCCTTATGAATGGTCTGTATACAAATGGGGATCGTCCCTCATCTCTTTGGTCGTCCATCATCTCTTTGGTCGATCATTACCAAGGACCTCTTGTTCATCGTGCTTTGGTTGCTTTGGTCATGTCTCTATTTTATTTTTGTTTTTGTATTAATAATTGCCTTTCCAAATCCATAAAATGGGTTTGATTGACACTCCACTTGCACCCTTGTTTGATGAGTCTGGGAGGGCGCCCTCTGACTACCCACCTATCCCCGACCACCTCTCAAGTTAATCCATCTCTCGATGGCAGAACAGATTCGTGATATATATAATATGCTCCTACCTTTTCGCCAGGGCAGGCGAGCCTGCACACACTACCAAACGTACTGCCCAGCGTGCAGTTGTACCATCTGAAAATCTTCGGGTCATGTACGGGACATGTTAGAAGAACACAACGCTTGTTGGTCCATGTGCCGCCCTTTAAACACCGCTGGACAAAATCACCCTTCCGATACAACTCTCTGGTATACAGCCCTGAGGGTCGGTACCCCGGCTTGCATCGATACTTGCACGACTCGCCTGGCATGAACGGTTTACCCTTGTGGCAGTCCTTCGAAAGAAGCCTAGAGTGGGGTGGAGTGGGGGGAAGGAGGCAGATCCTACGACAGAAGATTGTGATAGGGGACCACATGCTATCAGCTTCACAGGTGACAGAGAGTTCTGCACCACTACCAACTGCTTTTGTCCCGTCCTTGCATTTGTATATGCATTTCTTGCCGAAAGTTGTTCCATCTGGGCAATCTAGAATTGAACACAAAAAAGACCATTGTCACTGAAAGAGGTAGCATTGCGGTTGTTCAAAGCAGAATAGACGATTCCCCTTATTACGTTTTCGTAGCGCTTTGCATTGTGGTTATGGTGGTATCACTGATAAAGATAGCGGCCTCGAATAAAACTATTGAATGTTTTCGCGAATATTTTGCTGTTGGATATCGCGCACCTGACCCTAGCTTTTTTTAAAAGTTCTTGCACGGGTCAGGACAAAAAATAAGCCATCTTGAATATCAGTGATAGCACTATAACCACAATGCAAAGCGCTACGAAAACGTAATAAGGGGAATCGTCTGTTAGCGCTAACCGTGGGTTAAATTTAACCCATTGCTCTAGTTCATGTATATTTCCCGCGCTTTTTGTTTTGCTCCATTTAAGCCTGGTTCACATATGCCTGCGGCATGCCTGCGACTGTATCATTATGCCTCTACTTGCCGCCGAAATACCGGCAAAGTTGAACTCAACTCAACTTTCCCGGCCTACCGCCGATGTAACTGAGGCACTGGAGGCAATTGGCGAACAAATGTTCACATAATTTACGTTTTAAAGCTAGCACCGTATCGTCGCCGGTACGTCGCAGGCATATATGTGAACCAGGCTTTACTGTAATGTCACTCGTCTGAGTTGTTGGAAACACCATCGCCGGCGTTAATAAATATCTTTCTCAAATTCATTAATAATTCATGAGTAATTCAGCCAACGATAATCACCTATTTGATCACAAGATGCCATTTGGATAACCCGGTGAAACTTGATGAAAGTCACTAGTGTTTTCATCAAATATCTTAATTACGCATGCAAAATTACTTGAATAGAATTCCTAATTACTTTATGCCTGGTTAAGAATTCTATTCAAATCAGCAAACGAAAACATTCTGTTACGTCTCGATTCATTTGAGAAGCCATATAAACAACTCGAGCTCGTGTCTCACCGGGATATCCAAACACTCGAAAACAATGTATGAAAA